AACAGAATCTACACATAATAGAAATTTAAATATATTGCTCTGAAAGTTCATGAATAATTTGCAATAACAAAAAAACACAGCAGTGAAGCAACATATTCTCATATAAGATAAAACAACAGACAGAGAGAGAATAAATCTTTGTCACAGAAGTATTAAAAAGCTCAGAGTTTTATCTATTTGACATAAATTTGTAGTTGATTAATAGGCAGAAGCTATTTTTAAATCAGAGAAACTGTCAATACAATTTGCTTTTTAGATCATTGATTTTGCTGGGGTATTAAAAAGGAGTAAAAAAAACAAAGATTAAGATAGATCCTCTTTGAATATATTGAATATATTATAACAATTATTTTATTTATTTCATTACCTACAAAATTAAAATACAGAAATGTCTGCATATTAAGTAGGTTAGTATACTGATCACCTATTGCTTTTACTTTATGGCCTTGTTTAAACCCAATAACCCTTCCTCTACAACATCTGCTTGTGGGAATCTCTTGTTGGCTTCTATTTTACTATGCTACTTGCCAAGTCACATAACATAGTGCAAAAGAAAATGAACTGCTGCAAGCCAGTCTCCACCCATTTCACCTAAGCAATTCTTAGAAGCAAAATCTAGATGATATTACAGTGTCTGGGGAGGAAAGGCCTGTGCCACCTGCCAAGTCAATTTAATGACACAGAGAAGAAGAATGGTTTTGCAAAATTTTAACAGCAGCAAAACTTGGAGGGGGATAATCTGGGAAGCAACTTTGCTAACTTACTCCCTTGGAAGATAGAAATACAATACATAGCTTGTAAGATTTGTAAAAATGTAGTTAAATGCACCTAGTAATGGATACAGCTTCTAAAAACCTAACTTATAGGTGTCTAATTTGTAGGTTTCTAAGAGAGAAACGATTCATCCCAAAATCATATGTTTTTTTACAGCTTTGTTTTTGAGATTATTGGAGGTACAAGACTATTTTGTAAAACCATTAATTACCGCCATCCTTTTAAAAAAAAAACTTGGATGCTAAGGATGCTAAGTTATGCAGTTGCATATCTAGCTCAAATCAAATCTCAATGAGTATCAGAATTAATAAGACAAATTGTCCTACCAATTAAGAATAGCTATCCACTGCCAAGAAGAGCAAACAATATTTAGGATTTGAAACTCATGGACTATATACCGGTAATAATAAATTGGTTCTTGTTTTTTGTGTATTGTTTTTGAGAGAAGTCTCCTTTGGCCACAATTGCTCATGTCACGTAACACCCTCATTTGGTAATAAGCATTTTGAAAAGCAATTGTTCTATAAAAAATTTCACTTCGGAAAACGTTCTGGCACTGCTAAACAGCATTCTTCTTAAACAAAAGCATTGCAAGTGATTTTTTAAAAGGATTATACTATGCCTAAAATAAAGGAAACGAAACAATTAGCATTGTGTCTTTTATTCTATGGAGTCTCAGAAAGATTAGAAATAAGTTTCTAACAACTTCTACTGATAGATGGATGGCAGTTATATATCCTATCCCCAACTGATACATTTCTAGTCCAAAGATGAAATACATCACGTATTCCTAGATTAACAGTTGTAGTGGAGATGGGCAATGTAAACATTTATGGTAATAAATAAATAAAATCAACATTTACTTGCTGCTAAATTAAATCCATGTATTTGAATGTACATACTAGGTAAAATAATAGTGAACTTGTGTGAAAGTTTAAGGGAGTAAGAATTATAAGCAACATTTCACATTCATACATTTTTCTACACCAGTTGAAACTCTACAAAAGTTAATGGCCAGAAGTTATGCTTTCTCAACAAGAGATGAGTTATTTTACCTGATATCGAACTACCACAGAATATGCCCTATCTAGGAAGGCATTTCAGGGGGACTTGCCCCCGTTTGACCAAATAAAATAACCAACCATTCCGAAACACCAAGGAGCACTAACTTTAGTTTTTAATTCTTTATCCATAAATTCTTTATGACCAAAGATTATCCACTAGTGGAGAAGGTCTCACTGAATCCAGAAATCATGCTGTGTTATACTGTGCTTCTATTAGGATATAAGGCCCATTTCAAAATCCCAAATTGGTGAAGTACTCAGGCAATTTTGATTTGAGGTATTTGACAATTATTTCAGACAATATAATGCATTTCCTTGAATATGGAAAAAAATGTTATAGTATTTGCAAAACTCAAGACTCCCTGATCATCTTGACGACATCTTGATATTATGTTTTCATTTTATTTTGTCTGAAACAGAAATTGTTTACTTACTTTCTTATCTTTCAGAATTCAGGTCAGGGAATCTAATAAAAATCTTCCAGCAGCCTCAGCATATGTTACAATTCTCACTAAAAGTTAAAATAACCAACTATTTAAATATTTGAAGAACATTAAAACAGAAGAGTCAGTCATAATGGTGTAGTATTTAAGATAACACCATAAAAACCAGGAAACTAAGAATTCTGGTCCTGTCTTAGGCATGAAGCCAGCTAGGTAATATTGGATCAGTCACTTTCTTAGGAAGAAAACAATGGCAAACCACTTCTGAAATCTTGCCAAGAAAACTGCACTGACTAGTCTATGCAATCATCAGAAATCAACAGTAACCTCAATACACACATGCACACATGTACAAAAACTATTTTAGGATTCCATCTTCATTATATTGATACAAATGAAAGAGTCTCTTTACTTAGTCTCCAAACTACTTGTTTATTATACTTAGAATTCAAAAATTAATAAGATGTAAAAGAAGCCTCTCTCTTAGAACTAGTAACTGTGAGTTCTCAAGTGACAATGAATTCACATAAATGATATCTTGCTTATGCAGAAATTACCTGGAACCTTCCAGAGTCTGGGAAGCTTGATGGGACATCAATCCATTCTATACGTGTCCTAAGAGAGAGCACCCAGTCACCCTTTAGTTCCCAGAATAATCACAACAGTGTACAAACCAATCACTACATGATACCAAACTTAGAACAGGAAGCAGGTAATTGAATTCAAAAAGCACTTTAACAATCATAATAATCGGCACATAGCTAATTCTTCATTATAGTATTGGCAGCCCTACAAGCTANAACTTTGATGGAGAAAGCTTCCAGAATGGGTGCAAGTTAGTAAAACTACAAGAACAAGACTCTCCAATTAAATTATATGGCGCATGCAATAGCATGAAATCTCATGACTTTATATTATTGTGATCCAAGTTTCTCTTTGGTTGGAACAGTTTATACATGTAATTTTCTTGACAGTAAACTATTACTCATGGGTTTCATAATGAATTTTCATCATACCATTTAAGCAATACAGTAATTTGTCTCTAGCAAATCTAACTTTCATGTTAATTTCATATTCATTAAGTATAGCTTGAACTGATTCGGCAAAAAGAGAAGAGGAATATTTCCCTATGAAACCCATCACAACATGCTGCAAAAGGCAAATATTTCATTTCATATTAAATGTAATACTTCATAAACATTACACTAATTGCACATATAAAATCCTAGCTTACAGTCGAGATCTTAATGAGTTCTTTCTTATATTGATCTTCAAGCCCATCTTTAAGTTATACTGCAGCTGCCAGCATGTAGTGCAGAGCTTTCAAAACCTTTACTTCTAAAGCACTTTCTGAGATCAAACTGGAAGAAGATAAATGGGAAATCTGCCTAACATTTTGGTTTCTTCATAAAAGCAGCCACTGGGCTTCTCAAACTGGATTGCCGATCAGAGGTACTGGAGTGAGAGACAATGTCAGTTCCTCCCTCAGCTGGAAATTTGCTCCTCTGAGGAAAAATACAGGGAATCTTTTAAATAGAAGGAAAAATTAATTATTTATAATTGCTATCTAAAAGGTCTCAATATCACTTTCTGTGGCAAAAAGTCCTGACATAGTTTACAAGTCCACTACAAACAATCCACTGGAAAAGAAATGTCAGTGGTTGGGAAAAGATGGTGCCTGGGAAAGGCTAGCACCAAAAGTTCAAATTTTACAAGGGACCTAAAGGATATACTTGTTGGAGTCTTGAATGTGTACACCAGTTCAAATGAAGAAAATTAGAGGAGGAATTACTAAATGTATATTTCTTTATGAAAGATCTGTGAGCTTCATTTAGTTCTGATCGGTAAAATAAATTCCTGATATCGCTGTACTTAAAATCTGAATGTATGTGTGAATTTCTCCCCCATCAGACAAAAGAAAACTTTCTAGTCCTGTTCTAGACATGCACAGATCCTTACAATGTTCTAGTCTCTGAGCATATACAATATTACCTTTCATTAAGTAGCTCTATTTTATAACTGTGGAAACCTACAAGCTCAATGATATAATGATAGAATTGGCCCACAACTCTTAACAACTGAGTTATAATTTCCAAAATATATTTTTAGAAAAAATGACATTGATCTTTGGCAGGGAGAACAGAAAACACTTAAGCTTTTTTCACTCTTAAATCCTGTGGGAAAATGACATTGAGAACAGTTCTTGTGCCACACTGCTATAATTTCTGAATTGTTATATTTCTCAAAACGGCGTTAGGGCCTTCTCCAAAATGCCTCTGCCTGTTTCTCCTTGTTTTTTGTAGCCAATCATGTTTTAAGATAGTGTAAGGCTTTCAGAATATGAACTCTAAATCACATCATACACAGAACACACAATTAAGTCTCTAAAGATTTTAATTACTTAAATAAATGCAGAGCAATCTCAACTTCTCAGGAAAGGCTAGCAGGGAGTTTTTCAGTTTATGTTATTTTTAAAAAAATCCTGAAAACATTCTGCATCTTCAAAGACTACCTGATCATATCTTATAATGAAACTTTTCCATACAGATACATGGATTTCATCATGGTTCTTCTTTCCTAACATGCTTTGTGTAGCTACATAGGTTAAGATACCACCTTAGATTGTGCAAAGGTTTCAAATCCATTCTGAGTGCAGTTACTTCTTTTAAAACATAACATCATTATAGTAAAAAGAAAAAAAAGAAACTTCAGAACTTACCCACAAATCATGTTCAGCATAATCAAACAGCAGCCACACCTTTCTATCACTATGAGAAAGGAAAACCTTCTGTAATGCAATCACATTAGGGTGCTTCAGTTCTCTCAAAAGCTGCAAGTAAAGAAACAAATAACATAAATCTTTCTATACAGTACCAATAAACAAAACACTTTAATTAGTGAAAGAGATGTCCATAAAATCATTCTTTTTCATTCCAATAACTCTGGAATAATCTGTGCACAAAAGGGGGAAAGTAAAAAGCTTGTTTTTCCATTTAATAGAAAACAATATTTTTTAAAAAGTCAATTGGATTTGGATTTGGATTTG